GGGTTGAATAATCATTAATATCCTTTTATATACTATCTCAAACTTCACCGTAGGTGAACTAGAAATCTATATTGAACGCTTGCAAAAATTCTTATGAATATAAAAGATGTGAAAATTAGCTACTTCCAGTAGTACAAAGATATGTTTGTAACTAAAGTTATGACGAGATATGATAGTACATTTTCATTATGGAAGATGCGCTTCATCGTAGAAGTTCTAAAATATTTTTCTTGAAGGATAAATACTGCTCTCAATGAAGAGCATGAATAAGATTCTTTGGGAGGAACTCACTTGTGATGATTTATGTTTCGTAACAGCAAAATCCACTACTAGTAAATATTGTCTACTTTGACCTCTTATGTGTCGTCGTTAGACTCACGGTTATAAACACGTCTGTTAGGGATCGAAATGATATTAATTAATTAACTAATTAGAGTGGCGCAGCGGAAGCGCGGTGGGCCCATAACCTATAAGTCCTAGGATTGAAACCTAGCTTTGATACCAATTTTAACCTAGTTTAATAAGAAGTGTCACTATGTGGATCTTTTAAGTAAACATATGTGCAAATAAGATTACACGGAAACCCTCACCACACTAGCAAACAGGCATGGTGATGATTGTTGGGACTCCAACTCTGGATTGGATAGACCACACAGTTCTTATATTGGACGACCGATTTGAACGTCTATTATGCGGTCTCGGTGACCTCAACATTGAGGTCATATATTGTGTCTTTTCTTTGTTGATGGAAGGGGAAGATGTATACCATCCTTTCGTTAAAGGATCCTTATATCCTTTCTAACTTCATGCTTGATGTTCACACAAAGAACCTTTAAAGGATCCTTATATCCTTTCTAACTTCATGCTTGATGTTTCCACAAAGAACCTTTAAAGGATCCTTATATCCTTTCTAACTTCATGCTCGATGTTCACACAAAGAACCTTAACATCTAATCAGATACTCACGATTGTGGTCATCCATCTCTGCTACAAAAACTCTTTCATGGGATCAAATTACCAAGAATTCTACGTGGATCCTTGAAGACGAGAGCCCCCAATCAGGAAAGACTCACATCTCTACTACAAAAACCCTTTCATGGGATCAAAGACTCACATCTCTGCTACAAAAACCCTTTCATGGAATCAAATTACCAAGAATTCTACAAAAACCCTTTCATGGAATCAAATTACCAAGAATTCTACGTGGATCCTTGAAGATGAGAGCCCCTCCCCAATCAGGAAAGACTTACAGTTTGCTCAAATCATCTAACATGATAACGGAAAGCCTAGAAGTAAGATCAATGAGAATCAAATTTCTTTTTCAAAGGTAAAGGAATTCTTAAGCTCGAGATCCAATACCTCAGGAATCTCTATACCTCCATAAATAATCAACATGACAAGATCTATGCAAGTAGAGTCTATTGATTACAACAAAGGAGTAGTTCAATCAATTAGGAGGACAGTCCCAGATCTCTAACTCAAACTGAAATGGATACATCTATCTTCTACCAGATCAATGTTATCACAAATGAAATTTTTGCTTATAAAGAATTCTTGAAAAGGGATTCGCATTACACAGGGATACTCTAGAGAGGAATGCATTCTTCGAAAAAAAATTTAAATAAGAAAGAAATGAGATAAGAAGTCATATGGATGGAATCCTACGCTAATATGATTACTCAAGAAAGATGAAAACTTCCCTTTGAAGAATCATCCGCCCTACTCATCCTCCTCCTCAGAAATGTGAGTTTGAGAGTCCATAAGGAGAAAATATCAAAGCTGTTCAAAAGTGCTGAAGGGATGACAAAAACATTCCATCGTGTGAAGGATTTCTAAAATAACCAACATTAAAATAACTTCTCAAACAATAGTCTCTCAACCATTGCAAGACAAGTAGATTGAAGAAAAAATTTAGAAAAATTCGCACCAGCGAAAAAAACTATTACAAATATAAATAGCCCGAGAGACCCAAATATTATTATAGGCTCTGAGGTAAATTTGATCGTGTTATTTTCAAATTATAACTTAGTTTCAGAGAGGAATCAAAGACATGTGGGAGAAGCATATCTTCGACGAAGAAATGCGAAGGATACTCAATCATACTGCTATAGAAAAAGTAGTACAAATATATAAAAAGTATTGCAGATATCAAAAGTGAAGCTGAAATGTCTGAAGTCTCGGAGAATGATATAAGGGTTGAAGAGTTGTTAATACCTTTTTATATACTGTCTCAAAGTTTGTCATAGGTGAACTAGAAATCTTTGATGAACCCTTGAGAAAATTTTTATGAATATAAGACGCAAAAAGTGAGCTTACTTCCAATGGTACAAATATAGGTTTGTAACTAAGGTTATGACAAATCTAATAGTACCCTTTTATTATGGAAGATGCGCATCATCAAAGGACTTCCAAAGTATTTTTCTCGAAGGATAACTATCACTTTCAATGAAGAAAATGGTAATAAGATTCCTTGGAATGAACTCACTTATGGTGATTTAAGTTCTGTAACATCCTAAGCCCACCACTAGCAAATATTATCCGCTTTGGCCCGTTACGTAGTCGTTGTCAGCCTCATGGTTTAAAAGGCATTTGCTAGAGATCAAAATGATTAATATCATTCGAAATTAATATCACTGTAATTAGTTTGTCATTCATAATAAAATAATCAAAGTGGCGCAACAGAAGCTTGGTGGGCCCATACTCCGACCAGTGCCACGTGTCACAGTCAATACTTCGTCAAATGTGCGACCTCATGATCTTGAGGCTCGCGAAAAACTTTTAGGGGTACTCAACATCCATTCACATTTTTCACCCGACTTTGTGGCTTTGTCAGACCAGTGCATCGTGTCACAGTCATAATTCTTCACGTGGATCCTTGAAGATGTGAGCCTGAAGAACAAAAGGATACTACCTATACCCCATTTTTAAGAGGACTCGAACCTCAACGCTCTTTATCACGAGATTTTGAGTCTCATGTGTCTACCATTTCACCACCAAGGCATCTTGAAAGTGAATCATAGTCATGCTAAAAAATACTACTACAGAAAAAAAATACAAATATAAAAAATGAAGCTAGGATGTCTCAAGTTATGGAGAATGATGTAAGGGTTGAAGAGCCATTAATACCTTTTTATATATTGATTGTCTCAAAATTTGTCGTACGTGAACTAGAAAACTATGATTAACGCTTGTGGAAATTCTTATGAATATAAGATAGCGAAAAGTTGCTACTTTTAATGGTACAAAAATATGTGTAACTAAGGTTATGAAAAGATCTGATAATACCCTTTTCATTATGGAAGATGCGATTCATGGAAGAACTTTCAAAGTATTTTTTCTTGAACGATAACTATCACTCTCAATGAAGAACTTGGTAATAAGATTCTTTGAGATGAACTCACCTATGGTGATTTAGGTTCTATAACAATTGAAACTACCCGTCAGTAAATATTGTCTACTTTGGCTCGTTACATATCGCTGTCAGCCTCATGGTTTTAAATACATCTCTAGGAATCGAAATGATTAATATCATTCAAAATTAGTTTGTCATTCATAATAAATTAATCAGAGTGGCGTGTTTGGCCCATAACTTACATGTCTCTAATATTAACTATAATGCCTCCAATTATGCATCACTATTAAAGGTAGAAAGAGAAATGGAAAACGTATCTCTTCACTACCACTTTACTCCACTAGATAATCAACACTTCACTAATTATTTAGATCAATAGAACTGAGATTGTCTTTAAACTAGGTATCAAGAGAATGAATAGTTGATAAACTATTTTGTTAAAAAAAAAAAAGTTTTCCAAATAAGCCGTTTGATGAGAACGGTGTGGTTTCCTCAAATTTGCAGTCCTAAAATCATCTTGAGCATATGTTCACTGTGATCATTTTCTAGTGCGGAGACGAGCATAGGTTCACCGTGATCATTTTCTAGCGTGGTCTCCATAGTTAGAGGGATTTTGTGGTAAAATAAATATTTTTACCCTAAAAAATTAAAATTTCTACTTTGTCTACCAAATATATATATTTATTTATTTATAAATTTTTAAAAGTTTTTATAATATATTTATTATTATTATTCAAAAAAAAATATTTTTAACTCTTTTAGTTTAAAAATATTCTTGAAATTTTAAAGGTTGAAAAAATTATTACCGTCAATGTATGAACGAAAGCCATTTATGACACTTCATGGATTATCTTCAAATTTTTTAATATTATTTTTGAGAGTTTATGGATATTTTTTTGGAACATAGGTAAGAGTATTTTTTATTTTTAATTTTAAATTTAAATTTAAAGGTATTATTGAAAGTTTTAAAAAAATTTAAAAGTATTTTTGAAATTTTAAAAAAAATGGAAGTGTATTAATAAAATTTTCAAAAACTTGAAAACACTCGTAAAAGTACAAGTGTATTTTAGAATTTTTTGATATATTTAAAACAAATTATTAAATGTTTCTTCCAAAATAAAGGATAAAAATATTTTAGAATTTTTCTTTTAAGTTTTAAGGGTGTTTTGATATTTTTGAATTAAAAAAAAAAATATTTTGAGAGTATAAGAATATTAATTAAACTTTATATATTTTTGAAAAAAATACGTGAAATTAAAGGGTATTTTAATTAACTTACGAGATTCGTAACCGAAAATTGATTACTTAATTTAACAAATTTGAAGGATCACGTGCAGATCACGCATCATTCCTAAACGGGCCAAAACTATCCACTCTGGTTCGGTTCTAGAGACTCGGGCCATTTTCCCAGTCGGCAGCCTCCACCGCCTCTCTCAATGGCAATTACGTAATTTCAGCCCAAGTGTAAAGAGTCAGGATCAAGTCATCTTGGTAAAAATCACCTGCAAACACAACCACAGTATGCTCCTTGCTGTCACCACTAACGCTGCTATTAGGTTTGACTTTTCTATTAAATTTTACCCACATGCACATCACGTGGCGTCGATCTGTAACGTTGTCAGAACTCTTAATCCTTCCGATCACTTCCTTTGTAATGAAACTCGAGGGAAATGTATACGATATGTCGACTGTGGCGATTTCTTTCCAAGTACTCGCAGGGAACACGCCGTGACTCGAACGGATCGTCCCGTCCCTGAGAATGAATATCGAATTGACTTTGAATTGCTTCTCGTTCTTCTTCTTCTTCTTCTTCTTCTTCATCTTAAGTTTGTTCTGCTTGCTGTTTGGTTTGTAGATTAACGTACAAGAATCTTATTGAGAAGCCAGAAAAATGTTGGAGGATCAAGTGGCGTACTTATTGCAGAGGTACCTTGGAAATTATGTACGAGGACTCAACAAGGAGGCTCTAAAGATCAGTGTATGGCAAGGTTGGATTCATTTCATTTTACTTTTGCTGTTTCCATCTCATGAGTTTTACTTTAGGAACTTCTGCCAACTGTGTACAGATATTGAGCTTTTGATCTTTGGCGGTTCGAGTTTTGAAAGTTTTATAACTTTAGGCAATAAGAATATGTAATTTGTCTTCGGAATAGTTGTAAGGTGGCTAATGAGAGGATAGCATTGAGTTTGCTAGGAAGATAGCTAGTGGGATTGAACTATGTAACCGATGAATTAGTGAGTTACGTTTCTTCAATTTGGACCTTACTGTTATTCCACTATGGATATGACACTTACAAGGCATTGCATCGCGCTCGGGTGAGTATGGCTGATATTATGTTAATAGAAACGATTACTGACTTGTAGAGGATATTAGTAGGATTAAGCGCCATTTGATATTAACAATAGACGGTGAACGAGGAGGTCAAGTCCATGATTTCTACCTGTATCTGGTCATGAATTTCGATAGGAGCATAAAAAATTCTTCTGATCTTGAAACTTTTATGAGTTCAAGATTTTACATAAAATATCTGAATTTGAAAACGGTTGGCATAATTTGGGGCGCATTGCATTGTCAAGCATGTGTGCAAAGCTCTATTTGTTATTCTATATGTATTTGAAGTCGTTATGGTTTTGATTGAGATTTCTACTTGTTTCTGTTACTGTCTCACAGGTGATGTTGAGCTAACAAATATGCAGCTGAAGCCAGAGGCACTCAATGCATTGAAGTTGCCAGTGAAAGTTAAAGCCGGATTTCTTGGATCAGTTAAAATTAAGGTTTGTGAAATTTCCATCAGCACAGTCCATAATATTAGTTCATATTGCGATTTCCCTTCAAAATTTAATAGTTTAATTAGACTTAATAATTTTTTTAACTCCCTGATTGGAAAGATTATGGACCAAAACTTACATATCAGCAGGAGAAGAAAATTGAAGCTGAATAGTAAACATGAATCTTTGAAATTTGAAAGGCATCCATGTATTTGAACTGGATGGTTATTAAAGCCCAAAATGATCAGGAGAGTGCACTTCATGTTACATATTGAGACTATGTTCTAATTATTTGTATAAAAAGAGTTGCTCTGTGACTTCTTAAATTTCAACGATTCATCCTTGGTGCAGAGAAATAAAGAAGAATTATTGAAGGAAAATCTTTTTACAATAGAATTGACAAGCTTTTATAGCCAATTGTGTCGACTGCCAAGAAAGATTGTTAAACAATTATTTCAGTCTGTTGAGAATCTTTTTTGGATAAGAAGCATTAACATTGATGGCATGAAATTACAAAAGAGGGGCATTGCCCATATGGAGTTACATAAAAATCTCTCCAGTTGGTAAGGGGAGCATTATACATATAGTGGTGATAGAAAGGAGAACATTTACATCAAGATACAACCAAAGAACTATAGCATAAAAAATAATATGAAACAAAAGCTCCTTATCTTGAAAGATCGGGCGGTTCCTTTCTTGTCAAATACTATAACAGTGAGCTCCAAGGATGCCTATTGTGAATACCAGTATTGACCTAACCACCACTCCACCCAAGAAATTTTCATGGGCTCCATTTCTTTGTTTCGTTTTTATTGACTCAAAAGGTGAGACATCCAAAAGAACCAAAAGCTGGGTACAAGTTTCAAACAATCAAATCAATATCATCAATCAAAAGTTTTGTTAAAAAAAATGATATTCCATGCTGTTGGTGGTTTGGGTGGGGGTAGGGAAAGAAAGATGTTCAAGGATTGATTCTTGCAACTCCTTCTGTCTGCAAGCACTTGCCAGACCTTGTTGCTATTAGTGCATTGGGTCTGGAAGATAGCATGATGGCCTTGGTGGTACTGGATCTACTTTAGGTGTCAGTAGAAACTGGTGGATTGTGTAGCATAATGGTTATCTTTCATCTCCTCCTTCTAAGGATAATCTACTTCTTCATCCTCTTCTCTGCCTTCACTTTCCTCATTGGCCTCTTTTTGTAAAATGCTTATGGCGTATACTATTTGCTTCTGTAGTCAACTTGCCCTCATCTAATCCCTTTCCATTGTTTGAATTCGTGTATGGTTCTTTTTTCTTGTTTCTTGATTTCTGTCTGGTTGCAGAAGGTTGTAAGAACAGTTTGAGTGTTTTTCTGCTGTCTTGAGCGAAATGCTGAGTTCTGGATTTGTGGGCATCTTTTTGGTTCTCAGATCTACTTGAGCTTGGAATTCAGGTTCCTGACTGAGCTGAACCTTGTAGTGGTCTTAGTGAGTTCTTTTGTCTGCCTTTTGAGCTGGTGGACTAGATTCAGTTAGCTTGTCAGTGGGACGTACGTCTATTTTCTTTTAATGTGTACACTACCTATTAGTTGGCTTTCAACTTGAGCTAAGGTATTTTTAGTGCTTAGGCAGTAAATTCATGGGTATGTTAACCTACTTTCTTCACTTGTCATTTGCTACCTTTTATAAAGCAGTTCATAACTTTCTGACTGAATATTCTCCATCAAATATATGCACATGTACAGCAGCCATTGATGAGTTGTTGGCTTCTCAATCCTTCTGTTTGCTTGAAGCTGTTCCCAGTTCCCATCACGTGCAATTGCCATTTTAATTTGTGTGATTTTGAACTTTCTGATCTTTCTGGTGTGTTATTGTATATGAAGAAATCTTGTACATGTTTATTTATTTATTTTTTTCACAAGATGCAATTTTGTATTGGAAAGAACAAACTCCCAAGGTTTTTATTTCACTGATAGTTTGCTGCTGGTCCTTTTCAAAAGCTCACACTTACTCAATTGAAGTTGTCTGAGGATGTTCCACCCATTTATTGAATTCTTGAAGCTAAAAATTCATTTGTAGATTATCCCGTCTCTTCTTTGTTGTCATGTACCCTTGGAAATTTTTAAACGATGGGTTTTCTTCTCCCATGCTAATTTAAGCATTCTGCTTATGCCGGGTCGAAATCTACTTGATCGGTTCTTGGGGCAAGGTCTGTGCCATTGATTTGCTAGGTTTAGTTGCGGATGGATTGCTTCAGGTTTATCAGTGTTTCAATTGCAGCCATCCTTCTTTTCAGTCCTTCTTGAGTAAGGATGCACCATTGAATATTAAGATCAACATCTTGTAACCAAGGATTAAAATGCTGATGAAAATGTGAAGGTCTCATATTTGCAGAAATATTGGTATTGATGGATATATTATAAGAAAGATTTTTGGAACTGAGAAACATATAAAAATCAGTTTGATTAATAATTAAGTATTTTGCACTTCTTAAATAAGTTATAAACCTTAGTTTTGGTAGTTATGTTCATATGGGTGAATTTTTGTTTGATAATTTTTTCATCTTTCAATGATATTTATTTGATTTATTAGAAAGATCGGTTGATGCTTTGCATTAACGTTGAATCCTCTCATTTATGGTTAATTTAACAAGTCAAATGGATATTTTGTAACTTCCGATCGAGCAAAATGTTAAGTTCCTATTTATTAGAAAGATCGGTTGATGCTTTGCATTAACGTTGAATCCTCTCATTTATGGTTAATTTAACAAGTCAAATGGATATTTTGTAACTTCCGATCGAGCAAAATGTTAAGTTCCTATCTTCCCTTTACTATCCAAAGGTAAGGGTTAAAGTGGCCCCTGATACCACTTCGGTACAGAGAAAGTGGCCTCTGATACCACTTTGGTGCAGAGAATTAAAAATCTTTTTAATTGGTGGGCTCTTACATGGCACGTTGATTGGTTCTCTTGTCTTGATTGTTATCCATATATTTATGACTTAAACAGGTAATTAATTTTTATTTACTTGTTATTTTGAATTTACTTACTTCCGTTCAGCTATACGGCTATTTGCAAGGGTACTTGTCATATTGTTTCAACTTGACTTTTTTGTACATGGTTTTTATGTCATTAATACGTTTTCCAAATCAGGTTCCATGGAGCAGACTTGGTCAAGATCCTGTCATAGTGTATTTAGATCGAATTTTCTTATTAGCCGAGCCTGCTACTGAAGTTGAAGGACACAGTGAAGAGGCTATCCAAGAGGTCAAGAAAGCTAGAGTCCGGGTAAGATTTTTCTTTCCCCGGGGGGTTGGGGACAAAGAAACCATATCACCATATAGATTTCTAATTTACTCACTCTTAACATGGAGCAGGAAATGGAAATCAAACTCTTGGAGAGGATGCAGCGAATGAAGACAGAAATGGTATGTCTACTGTATGCACTATGGATCGTTTTGGTCCCTGAATGGAGGTTGCAAGTTTTCTCTTATATGTTCTTAATCGAGTTTTCTCCACTAATTGCCAATGAATTTCGATTTGCATTGGTGAAACATTAAGATATATTTTCATGGAAAGTACGTTGAAGTTGTATTGTAATTTTTTTATGCATTGGTTGTTACTGGTGAGGATCATGGCCATCGTGATTAAATATTGCTGAGCACACCTAAAAAACCCACCCCAAAAAGAACAACAATAATAAAAAAGAATAATAAAAAGAACAAGTAGAAACCCGGTCATTTATCTGAGGTAGGAAACTCTGTCCCTTTTCAGACACTTGTACACGAAGTCACATCCAAATCTTATTAGAGGATATTGATGTTTAGCCATATATTCTACATCTCTACCTTTAGGAGAATCATTGATGTTTGAAATTTATAGAATCAAATTTTATTGATGTTTGAAATTTATAAAAGGGATGTATTATCCATAATCTTTACAAAGGACCTTTCCAATTTACCATGATGAGGGAGGTATGACTATTGGAAGTAAAAGTATTTTTTTATTTTTTTTATTTTTATAAGAGACAATTTCATTGATGATTGAAATTTACAAAAGGGATGTATAATCCATGATGTTCACAAAAGACCTTTCCAATTTGTAACGAGGGAGGTATAACTATAGGAAGTAAAAGTATTAGACAGTTTACACCAAGATATAGCTTGGTAAACAACATTGTCGAAAATTTTTGTGTATGTTCGTGTCTTTTTTGCAAATATTCTTTGATTTTTTTTCTTTCCATAAATTCCAAAAGAAAGCCACGATGAGGTTTTTCCATAATAGGGTTTTTGCATTCTTGAAAGGGTGGTACGTTAAGGCGATATCCAAAAATTCCTTTACCTCCCTAGGAAATATGAGATACCATCCGAATATATTGAGAATTGTTGTCCAGAAATTCTGAGCATATGTGCATTGCATGAACAAGTGGCTTTGTGATTCATTTTCTTTCTTGCATAATGGACACCAATTTGGAGAAAGAGTGATATAAGACATTTTTTTTGAAGTTTTTCACTTGTGTTAGTGACTTTATGCGCTATTTTCCAAAGGAAGAACTTCACCTTTTTAGGTTGATGTCCTTTCCATACGGTCTTTGTTAGGGTGGGATTTATTGGTTTTACTTTTTCCCCCATGTCCATCATCAAGGGTTTCGTAGAAAAGACCCCGTCAGCGCTGGGGAGCCAAGTCGGTGAGTTTGCTTTGTTCAACAATACCACAGGGGCAAGGTCAAGGCTTAATTTGGCCCACTCCATTGCTTCATTATACTTTAAATTCTTACCAAGCTTCAAGTCCCAAAATTTGTTAACAACATTCCACGTTTCTTTAATCGTGGTTTTTTTTTCTATGAGAGAGCCTGTACAAAAGTCTAAGGTGGTGTTTTGAATCCATGGTCCAGAATAATGTGCTTCCCCCATCACCCACCTTATGGCGAGTTCGGTTGGTGATGAGGTTTTGATGTTTCTTTATGTACTTCCAAGGCCCTTTTGTAGAAGATGGAGGGGTGATTTTTGTTTGATGTAGGAGTATATTTAGCCTTTATAAGATTTCTTCATAAGGCCTTTTCTTCAGGATGATATCTCCATATCCATTTGGCGAGGGCAGCTTTGTTCTTCTTCCTTGTCGAGAGAAGATCGAGGCCTCCCTTTTCTGTTGGGAGGTTTTTAATATTCCATCTAAAAAGGTGCACACCATCTTTCCACAATTAGTTTTTGAATGATCTTTCTATATCCGCGACGACTTTTTGTGGCATTTCAAATAAAGTCATGTAGTAAGCAGGGAGATTGAATAATGTGGCTTGTATTAGGATGAGTCTTCCGCCTTTTGAAGTATAACGTGATGACCATGTTGACAACATTCTTTCTATTTTTTCAATAATAATCTTCTAGAAGGAAAATGATTTGTGGTTCCCTTTTTAGAGGTAGTCCTAGATACATATTTGACCATTCTCCCTTTTTAGAACCATATATGCTAGCAAATTCTTCAATAATCTTTGTGCTAATATTGATGCCTATGATCTCTGTTTTTTTTTTTTTTGGAGATTGATATTTTGTCCAAAGAATCCTTCGATGGTTTTTACCGTCTCAATCATGTTTTTTTATGGAAGAGGCATCTACCAAGTCAGAAAAGAGGGTTGTGTTGTCCGCAAATTGAAGGTGGTTGATGCTCAAGTCTTCATTACCAATATGAAAACCTTTTATATGCCCTTTGTATTCTGCTTTTGTCAGTAGGCGATTAAGGTAGTTCATTACCATGATGAAGAGAAAAGGGATAGTGGATTTTTTTGTTTCATACCCCGTGTGGCATAAATCTTCCCTCTCGGTCTTCCATTGATAATGATGGAGAAGTTTGTGGATGAGATGCATCCTTTAATCCACCTTCGCCATTTTGAGCCAAAGCCTTTTGTCATAGGAATGTTTTCGAGGAAAGTCCAATCAACCTTGTCGAAGGCTTTAATGACTACACCTTTTTGTTTCATTCTTTCCCATTCATCTATGAGTTTGTTTGCCATGAGGGATGCATCAAGAATTTGTCACCCCTATACAAAAGCTGTTTGTTGCCCAATTATTGTGAAGGGGAGAACGTTTTTTTAGAAACGTTTTGATAATACCCTTCCTATGATTTTATATAAACCGGTCGTGAGGCTTATGGGACAAAAGTCGGCAACAGTGCAAGCATCCAATTTCTTTGAGATTAGACATATGTATGTTTTATTCAGGTTGCCATTGACAGCTCCGTTTCAAAAAAAATCTTGGAATACTCTCTTGATATCAACTCTCATACAATTTCAGCATTTTTTGAAAAAATTCTGAGGTAAAACTATCCAGTCCTGGAGTTTTATCGGAGCCTAGGTGCTGAATTGCCTTCCCCACCTCTTCTTCAGTGAAAACGACCTCGAGGGAGGCAACTTGCTGTTGTTCAATAGGACTCTAGTCCAGATCGTGGGGAAATTTGCAGAGGGCATTGTCCTTTGTGTATAAGGACGTGTAACAGGACACAAATTCTGATACAATTTCTTCTTCATTTACTAAACTTCTGCCTTGTGTGGATAGTATTTCCATGATGGTACTCTTTCGTTTCTTTGTAATCATGATACGATGGAAAAATTTGGAGTTTATGTCACCTTCCTCTAACCATCGTTTTTTACATTTTTGTCTCCAAGATTGCTCTTCATTTGCTGCCAACGAAATAAGTTCTGCTTTCCTAAGCTTTTTCTGTGTGTATTGAACTAGTGTGATAGAGCTAGCTTTCTCCATCTGATCTAGGAGAACAATTTCAGTTAGCAGTTGGTTTCTACGTGTGGAAATACAACTGGAGAACAATTTCAGTTAGCAGTTGGTTTCTATGTGTGGAAATACAACTGAAAACCTCCTTATTCCATTTCGTTAGGACTTCTTTTAGTCTTTTAAGTTATCGTGCCCCGACCATCCACGGATGGGTGTATTCTTCCACTAGTATTTTACCATTGGCAAAAATTCAGGATGGTTCAATCACATATTCTCAAATTGGAAAGGTGAGGGCCCCATTTATAGCAACCCATGGAAAGTAGAATGGGATAATGATAAGATGTAGGTCTATTCAGTCTTTGAACACCAGCGTTACTGAATTTTCCAAGGAGGTCTTCAGTGGCAAGAAATCTATCGATGAGTGTTAAGGTGGGTGGAGATCTGTTGTTTGACCATGTATAAAGTCCATTACTGAGGGGAAGGTCAATGAGTTCGACTTTTCTTATGAAATTATTGAAGTGTCTTATGCTTTTGGTGGCTTTTCCACTAGATTTTTCATGTGCCCGTTGAGAGATATTGATATCTACATGGCCATAGATGTCTTTCTTGATATCTACATGGCCATAGATTCCTGTAATCCAAAATCTGTAATTATCAGCTAGTGTAATATGTGTGGTTAAGGTGTATAAGCCTTTGGTGACTTCTGAAATGGTTAAAGTTGGGTCGTTCCACATGATTAAGATCCCCCTGATGTACCTAAGGCATCCAAAGTTGACCAACCAATATGTCTGGCGCTCCAAAGGGATTTAACTGTCCAGCGGTCAACCTAATTCAATTTTGTTTCTTGAAGAATAACCATAGTGGGATTGTATTTGAGGACGAAGGACTTGATTAGGGCTCTTTTTTGCCGATCTCCCGAGCCCTTAACATTCCAAGAGATAATAATCATAAGAGGTATTGACCTCCCAATTGAAACTTGCTCGATTTCTCATAATTGATGTTTGAAAGGAGGCCAGTAACCTCTCTAGTCAGTTATTGATTTTTTGGCCGTAGTGGGTTTCTTTTTCCTAGATGGAATAGCCATGATGCACATGTGGTGTTTTTTTTAGCCATGGTGCCAAGATTTGGATGTATCTTGTTGGTGTGAGTGTTGCTGATATCGGGGTGCCCTCTTCTACCTCTGTTTCATCCTGCTTTTTTTTTGAAAAAGAGTGCCAAGCTCTGTATCTGCAAGGTTGATCTCTAGCAATGGATGAGACATGTTGGGCTTACCCGCGGTGGGGGATAGTGGAGCGGTGGAGAGGGGGAGAGGCTGGATGCATATTCGTCATCTGATTCTTGGTCAATGCCAACCATGGAGAATTTTGTTCCGGGGACGAGGAGGGTTTTTTTGGTTATTTATGATGATGACATGTTTTTCTGATGATATTGTCACAACTTGTGGGTCGGGATAAGAAGTGGTGTAGTAGATGGGGTTTTGGAGATTGGTGGAAAGTAGGGTGAGGGGTTGGTGGCCTTTGGTTCAGGGACCATGAGTTTATGGGGCATGGCAGATGGGGAGGGTGGAGGAGTATGGTTTAGTTGGGGGATTGGCCTTTTTTTTTTTTTTTTTTTTTT